GAGTGGCTAGAGAGCAGTCCTGCTGGGTTGACTGCAGGCTCAGTAGCAGCCAGCAGTGTGCCCTGGCAGCTAAGAGGGCAAAACGCATCTTGGTGTGCACACAGCAAAAACAGGTGGACGAAAGAGGTGATTTTCCTTCTGTATTTATGCCATGGTTTAAGCCCAGCCAGTAACTCGGAATCGGGCGGCTGCTCGCTCACTCCCCCCCCCCTTCTTCTTCCTCCTGCTCCCGGAGGGATGGGAAGGAGAATCAAAAGAATGTAACTCCAACGGGTTGAGATAAGAACAGTCCAGTAACTAAGGTATAACACAAAACTACTACTACTACCACCACCAATAATAATAATAAGGGGAATAACAAGGGGAAAGAATATAAAACTAAAAGGGGAAAAGAAAAAGATAAAAATAAAAACAAATGATGCCCAGTACAATTGCTCAGCACCTGTCAGTGTTTGTCATCCTTAATCAAATTAGATAGCCTTAGAAACAGTTTCTCCAAAGTAAGAGATACTTATCAATCTAGTTTCACCACACATCATCAAGATATAAGTATTTGTGTTTTCTAATCATAAATAAATACCATTGTAACTGCCTACAATTATTTTCAAGCCTTCAGTGCAAGTATAAGCATGGATAAATACAAAACAATAAAATGTTGCAATGCTCTTTTAAAATAATTAAGTTTTCTGCTTTAAGAGTAAATAGCCAATTAGAATACACTATCCGATATTAGTATTTTTAAATTGTGTGCATAAAATTGAAACACACATAGCATCAGTTTACATATTTATATAAGTAAAGGAGACTGTCTATTTGCACAGGTATTTCAGAATACAGGAGGGAAGATTCATCATTGGCTCAATGGGCCAACTTCCTCTTCAAGGTTTAAAGAGTTCTGCATGCAAATCTTCCACTCAGCTAATACAAGTGTGTAACAAAAAAAAACAAACAACAAAAAAAAAAAACACAACAAAAAAAAACAAACCAACAACCCTCCCCAAAAAAAAACAAAAAACAAACACACAAACAAAAAACAACACACCACCAAAAAAACAAAAATCACACAACACCACACTCCCCCTCCTGCCTCACACACACACACACACAAAAAAAAAAGGAAATAAATAAATAAATAAATCCAGTCATCTTCCAGTTAAGACTAGTTGCAATTCAGGCTAAATTCAAATGGTTTATCTCCTACTTGTTTCTTTTAGTAACAGAGAGAGAACTAAAGGATACTCATATTTGACACCTTGTTTCATTGACTCATCTTCCATTTCAAACAAAAAAGCACACCTTTGCCTTAAGAGCCATGTTTTGCACATCACAATACCTGCAAGTATGATACAAAAAAGCAAACAAGCTGTCAAGCCCTCCAACACTTAATTTTACCAGAGTTAATACACATACAGACATAGCTAGCAAGATATTACTAATTATTTTCTTAGTCAAGATACCTTCTGATAAGAAAATAATCAGAAGTATATACAGTGTAAAGGCATAGTATGTCCAGCAGTGAAGGTTTATGGCTACAACCTAACACGTAGGCCCAAACAGTGCTTTCTGAGACCAGGCAAAACTTCCAGTGATGACAGTCAAAATTATATACATCGAAAGCTAGAGCACATGGCTCTTACTGCATGCATACATGCTTAAAACACAGGCATGCAGAAAACTGTACACTGTTTGGTACATATCAATATAAAACACTAAAAAAATTTTTTTTCATACTGTAACAGTAACAGCAAACAACAGATGGATATTAAACTTTACACTCTGGAGAACAATCATAACGTTTTATGAAATGTTCAGTAGTAATGAAATCCAGAAGAATTTTAAAAATACAAGGAGATGAAAACCAAATTCAGTAGAACACTGAATTTGGTTCAAAGTACCTTAAACATTAGTCAAGCTGTGCTAGCTGAACTAGTACTATGCCTTTATAATATGCTTCAGTGCATATGTTAGAGTTCTCAGTTTTTAGAATTACAGTAATTAAAAAAAAAGATTATTTGCTTAATAGATTAGAACAGGACAACAATGTTCAATGCAGTACCTAAAATTGGTATTTTAATGTTTAATCACAGAGAGGGTTCATTTCTTAACAGTTTAAAATATAATCTTACCATAAACAAAACCAGAAAAGTTTTTCAGAAATTACTTTCAACATTTTAAACTCTTTGATCCCATGAAAAGTAAAAAGATATTATTAATACACAAAAAGGGTGCACACAGATAGTGTGCGTCACACAGTAACAGCAACCTACAGTTAGGAGGGAAATATTTCACTTTGCAAGGAAGCACTGTAATTTCTACAAGTTGGGGGGGAATTGTCTTTCCTGCCCAAGAATTTTTTCTTTGTATTTTCTACATATGTGCATTTGTATATATATCTTTTTTTTTTTAAGGGAAAAAAGCGGCATAGAAATGCTCATTTGTTCCTTATAACTTTTTGAATTAATAACTTTCACTTTGCACTTGCAACAAGCTCAAAGAGCACGCAAGGTCAATTAACACAGCTCAGTTTAAGCTGTGTTCTCTCCCTATGATTAAAAGGATAAATTTTTGTTAAGTTGCAACATTAAGTTTTGAGACAAAGATATGCACTGGAACAGTAGAGGTCAAGTTAATTAATAAAATGGATTAAATTTAAGCTATTTCAGACATTTATGTTCCCAGTCTCAGAGTTGTTATTATTATTCTCCTATTTTTAAATTGGTCCTGTCCTTCTCAACTACATAAATGATGCAAACAAATAAAAAAATTAAGAACTGAACAAGTGACTGTGCTGGCGAAACAGTGAGTGTGACTGAAAAAAGTACTGTCAGATAACTAAAAGAAACCTGCTAATTAAAACAATTTTCTTAGGGAGTTTTGCTATGGGACCTTTTTTTTTTCTTAATAAATTGAAACTTTAATCTCTATCCTACCCTGTGACTTCAAACAGTGGTTCACTGCTATACTGCATTTTACAAGATGAGATCATTAACTGTTAAACAGCTATACATGCACAAACACTTTCGATCAAATATACGACCGAGGTTGAAAAAGTACAATACAAAAAATGTGTACACAATTTTTATGCTGGTTTCTACTCAAATACAGATATAGTATTAAGTACAAAGCAGAATGTTTATTTTTACTCTTGGTTTCTTGTACATCATGCTTACATCTTCAAAAGCATGGTTGATAGGATAGTGATACATGCAGAAAATATTCATAAAGGCAATCACAGTGAGCTTCCTCCAAAGCTTTCTAAGTTATGGCTTCTTATCTATTTGCTCTGAAAACACTTTATTTCATTCAGTCTAAAGTAATGCCACAATTAGGCCCTAATCTACCATTACATATCCATACACTTAATATTACCAGCAGGTGGATCTTATAAAACAATACAAGTTCTGTACTACTGATTGTAGAAGCAAATCTCTGAATTCCTTCTCTGGGTGGTATATGTTGGTATCATTCAATAAGTTGCATGCATTTTAAAAACTTGTGAGAAACCTCTAGCGAGGAAACCAGGAAACACAGGAACAATTTGGACCTGAGAAACAAGTCAAACTTCAACCACCTCTCCTGTAACAAATGTGTATTTTTAAGTAATTATACTTAAACATCCATTAAATTAAACAAATGCAAGCTATCAGTCTTCTATTTTATCTTCAGTTTGGATCTTGAAATAGCCACAGCACACAATTCTATCAACCAAAAAGTAGGCCAAACTGAGACAGAATGTTATTACTGGTAGCACTGTATCTGTCTCTACCTCTCCTTTTTCCATATCAGTTAAGGATCACAATACCTTTCTCCATATACAAAAGACCAACTGAATTATTTAAAGTAAGAAACAACACATTCACGAGCAAGCATTAAAATGAATTCTGGATTCCTATTAACTCTCCTTAACTTATTAAAAAGGCAGTTTATTCTCTCAATATAAATCATTACTTTCATGTACATGATGCAAGACAAAAGTCTGGCATAAACACCCCACATCCACTTAGAACATTCCTATTCATTTACACACCAAACACTGGTGCAGACATATTTCAAGGCCTGCTAGTCTAAGGCAGAATCTGTAGTAACCTAAGAACTAAACAATGCAGTAGAGCACAAATATAGACAAATATATTTTAATTCAAAAGGCTTATTTTAACACAAGCCAAATTCCTATTAAACAAACACTGCCTTTTCACACTTGTGGCTCCAAAGTAACAACCTCTGTTATGATTAAAGAGAAATGATACAATAGATCTTATTTCCTGAAGAGTGGGTGGATTCCAAAGGTATTAAAGATGCTGTTATCCTCCAGCATACTCCTCAGCTTCATGGGTGCATCTGGGTTATTATGGTTTCTTTCTCCTTTTGCTTTAAATGAAAAGTAAAATCAATCTACAATCCAGGCGTAAGCCCTTTATCCCAGTTTGCCTCATTAAATAAAAACATAAAAATAATAATAAAAAAAAGACAAATAACAAATGCAACTGGTGATCCAACAACCTTTCCAAGGCTCACAGAACAATACAGATATTAAAGCCGGCCACCATTATTCTGCATAGCAACTCTCCCTGCGAGTTCTTTCATTAATCTGCTTCCTTACCATCACTCTCATACACCCATCATCACCATCATATTCCCCCAAAACTGCCTCACTCACCAGCTATCCATTCTCTCTCCATTTTGGAAGGCCGGGTTCCCTACCATATCAAACCCACCCATAGGAACCATAATTATTTACCCAGCCATAAGCGCCTCGGCGGAGCCTTCACACGGGCGGGCGTGCACATACACAACGCGGTGGTGGAGAAACGACGAGCGGGTCGCCGCCGCCGCCATCGCCACAGCCGCCCTGCGGCGAAGTTGCAAGCACCCGGGGGAAACCGAACCGATCGCGCCGGTAACGCGCCGGTAGGGCTAGCCGGAGGGAGCCCGGGGCGACGATATCGGCTGCACCCCCAGCGGCACTTAAGGCGTGTGTGCCGACAGCAGCCCTTACTCACCCAGCAGCAATAGTTTCAGTTCTCGACGGGCGTCCCGCTTGTCCCGGCGCAGCTGCCGCTCGATCTCGTCGTTAATCCGTCGGGCTTCCTTGGCTTCCTCGCTTAGGCAGCACGCCATTATGGGCTCCAAAGTCATTCTTCCTAACTGATTCAGACACAACCCCCACCCTAAAAACGCGCGCACACACACCCCACCAGAGCACCAGCCTCGGGGGACACAGACGCTCTCTACCTGGGAACCCCCACCCCAGGCACTGCTGGGCAAGGGCAGGGAAGGTGCCTTGATACCACACACGGACAAGGAGAAAGAGAGGAAGCACCTAGCAATACAGCTCTGCCTCTAATAGTCACCGCTTCTAACTTCTCGTCTGCTCTAAATTATGCACCAAGCAACATGAAAACATCCACCATAGCAGCCACAACGGCGGCAGCAGCGCTATCTAGGAGACAGATGTTGCTCAACATAAACACCCCTCACTACCTGTAACCAACACAATCCCTAAATGTCCTTCACCAACTGCACCCCTACCACCCTCCGAAGTAACCACCCCCTACGGAAGTACTAATGACCGTTAATCCCTCCCCCACACACATACTTCCCTATCGCTCCCTCAATCCTAAAATGAGAATTCCGTTTCTCTGAAAGCGGACAAGCCTGCCTCCACCCGGCAATCTCAGTATGTGCCTAGTTTGTCCTGTACGGTAGTTTGTTTCCCCCCCACCCCCATTCTACATGTTTTATTTGCTTTTGCTGGATTTGGGTTTACTCGATAACGCACATTTTTATTATATCCTTGTATTCTCTTCCTAAAAGAGATGTCTTTGGCTCATAGGAAAAGGGGGAAAATGTAATAATTTCCATGAGTGAAGTATCTTCTCCTTAAACTGGAAATTGAAATGTAGGGAATAAATATATACTAGTCACTAGTAACTTTTAATGCTGGTAATCTTGAAAATGATATTTGAATAGTTATATACAGAAGAAATAAAATATGTTTGCAACAAATAAAAACAGTAGGATACTTCACTTGCTTATAAGAACCTAATATTCTATCATTTCATGGCATCGATATATTGCATTTTCTATTCTGTTGGTGTGACCTTTATTCAACCGATGCTTTTAACTACCAACCTTTTTCACAATTCCAATACTAGAAAGCCTGTCTTAATAGTCCCCAGAGTGATAGTATGCAATTTGATGGACGTATTAAGTTCCAGTTTTTGTGAATTTGTAAAGTATTACAAAATTCCCACACTTGCCCTACCTTTTCTCACCTCCTTATTAAATTAGCTATCAGGGAATTTAGCAAAATATTCCAGGAACATTATATAAGTCTATTAAGTAGGTAAGAGGGGTGCATCACTCTTTATCTTCTATTTTCATATGTGATATTCTCTCCAGCACCTGTTGTCATCTGTTTTGAAAATCACATTCTCTTTCTTGCAACTGTTCATATATGCTGACAATATGAATTAAGTAGAGTCTACCATAAGGTGTAAGACTAAAAGGAAATTAAAAAAGGAAAAAAAATGAAAAAAATCAATACAATAATGTAGTTATCAGGTTTTAGAGAATGAAAATATCTTTCATTATTTTAAAAAGCATGATTTTTGTTTAGTTCTATATCATATTTATGTATAATGTATAAAAGCATTTAAGAAAATTTGGAATATTTTTAGAAGTATGTGAATTTTATTCTAAATTCTGTAATCCTATTTATTAATAAAATATATATTTCAGTAAAGGATCTTCTTTCTCTACCTGATGTGGATTTTAAAATTCATATATATGTAGGTGTATGTATGTATTTATCTGTGTATCTTGTGGTCCTAGAATATTAAATTCTGTGATAAATATTTATATACATTGAATTACAAATATAATATATGCAAAAATGCAAATGAGTAACCAAAAAGGAAAAGCTTTTTCTTCATGAAATAAATTCTCAACATATCAGAATTTCACAGAATCATTAGGGTTGGAAGGGCCCTCTGGAGATCATCTAGTCCAAGCTCCCTGACAAGGCAGGGATACAGCAGGTTACACAAGAATGCATCCAGGTGGATTTTGAATGTCTCCAGAGAGGGAGGCTTCATGACCCTCCTGGGCAGCCTGTTCCAGTGCTCTGCCGCACACAATGTAAAGAAGTTCTTCCTCATGCAAGGTGAAACTTCTTGTGTTTTAGTTTATGGCCATTGCTCCTCATCCTGTTGCTGGGCACCACTGGAGTCTGGCACCAGCCCCCCTGGCACCTACCTTTGTGATATTTATATGCATTAATGAGATCCCCTCTCAGCCTTCTCTTTTCTAGACTAAAAAAGCCCAGCTCCTGCAATCTCTCCTCATGAGAGAGATGCTTCAGGCCCCTGATCATCCTTGTGCCTCCTGCTGGACCCTCTTCAGTAGCTGCTTGTCTTTTCTTGTACTGAGGAGCCCAGCACTGGATGCAGTACTCAGATGTGGCCTCACAGGGCCAAGTAGAGGGGATGGATCACCTCCCTCGGACCTGCTGGCACACTTCTCCCAATGCACCCCAGGATACTATTGGCTTTCTTAGCTGCAAAGGCACACCCCCAGCTCATAGTCAACTTATCCACCAATATTCCAGGTCCTTCTCAGCTGAACTGCTCTCTAGCAGGCCAGCCCCCAACCTGTCTGGTATTTGGGGTTCTTCCCTCCTCAGGTTCAGTACCCTACACTTGCCCTTGTTGAACCTTATTAGGTTTCTCTCTGCCCAATTCTCTATCAATCAAGGTCCTGCTGAATTTCCTCCTAAACGTTAGGCCAGAAAAAAGAAAAATGGGAGTGTGGTGCAGGTTACAAGCAATATTCAGTGGATGTACAACTGCTCTGTGCCTGAAACATTTGCTGCACTGTCAGGTCCATAGCAAACAGCATCTGAATCAAGTATAAAGAAAGGATATGATTGGTCAATGAATTTGTGACATATGGATCAACTGATCAAAATCCCTTCCCAAAATGAGGGCACAGCAGTCCTACGAAAAAAATACTTTCCTCAAACAATATTGTAACCTTCCCCAGTAGACAATGTCTGACTCAGCTTTCTTAACCAACTCTTTATTGTGCTCAGTGTAGAAGGCATGTAAAACTGTCATTTAATTTTACATTTTTAGTGAGAAAAGACACTACAAGGGCCATAAATTTAATCTCTATGTACCCTCTCCCATTGACATAATTGGATTCAAAATCACTACTTAATAAATATCTTCAGATTTTTAATGGTGAGCAATGTAGTCCTGAATCGGGTATCAGCTGACAGCCATTTTTTCCTTATTTGCTTTGTGACTTAGCGAAAATAGAAGAACCCACATAATGGACAATTATGTGATCATAAACCTATGAGGAAATTTTTTTCAGCCCTCATCTCCATAATGTTGGCTTTTGTTCTGAAACCCAAAATATCCTTTGTAAATATTTTATCCTAATAAGAACTGTCAATAAATGACATATACAATTTTTGCCCATACAGATAATTATTATCCATGGATGTTATCCATACTGTTACCTAATCGTATACAGATACTTCCTGATAAACCTTCCCTGTAACAATAATTTCATATTGCTCTATCCAAGCAAGTCATGTCTTATAGCAAACCCATTGTCTGCGACATGTTTTAATGTTTCTCACTGTCACAGGAAATTAAAAGTGAAACTGTCAGAGGAGCAAGGTATGATATTAAATTTGCTGCATCTTCAGCATTCTTGCTCACAAGCCAACAAAGACTGGGGGAACCACCACTCTATCATCTTTGTATCTTTCTTTGCACTAATCAAGCCAGTCTCATTTCCTCCACATAGCTAAAGATATTTATTTTTTTGAGATATGTTTTCTGTGATGTTTTGGAAAAATTGCAACTAGCATCTGAACTTGGTACTGACATGACAGTAAACCATCAGACAACATTGTTGATTTTTATCATTAGTCAGCATACCATCTTAAGTAATGAATATCTTACAAGTCCTTTTTGATTGCCCTTCTGAATTAGGAAGATGTTTTCACAGTGCTATGCACAATTATATGTCTTGAGTGCTTACAGTTAATTTGGAGGCCATCAGTATGTCTGAGTAGAGCAAATTACCCTTTCAGTATGCCCTCCTAATCAGGTTTTTTTTAGAATAACAAATTGTAATCTGTTGGTTGTCTACTGTTAAATGAGTAACATGCAGTACTTGTAATTCCTTTCAACTGAAATAATCAGTTTGTTCTACTATGTGTTGTTTATAAGTTCTCCAGTGATATTTATTTAGAAGTAACAGCTATCTGCCAAAGTCCTAAGGTATAGACTAATGACTAAGAAGGGGTTAAGAAAAGTATTTGTTAATTTGTTGACAATGCAACACAGAAGGGAAAAGAAAATACACACAAGAGAAACTATCAGAAGGGGATTGCTTGCCAGGCAAGTATATAGCCTCACTCCTGTGTTGTGCATAGAGCTGGATTCAGTACACCACAGATGTATCCTATCTGACTATATTCTGACTATATGGAACATTTGAAAGAAGGAAAGTTTGTATAAGTATGTATATATATGTATTTGTAAAACTAATGGGAGATTTTATTTCTTGAAGAATGTTTAAACCCTGTTACACCTTTCCTCACTTGTAAAGACGACTAAGACATTTTGAGACCATTTAGGCTGGGTGTTATTTATGTGTCTCTCTCGGGGCAACACCTATATCCCTGGGCACCCCTCCCTGAGGGAGAATGGAATCTGGCCTCCACTGAGGGCCTGCCCTGAAGAGGCACCACGCCCCTGCACCTGGTTGTCTTAAAGGCAAAGTTTCCTGATTAGCAAACATCAAAACATAATATATCAATATATAAATAATAATAAAAAAACTGTATAAAAAGTAATTTGTATGTGAATGAAAACTGACAATTCACAGCTAGGAAACTGCAAATATCTCCACAGATTTTCCATACACATAGCATTAGAGTATGTAAAATCATGAGTCAGTGTATTATTTTTCCAGTAAATATAAACACAAAATAATTACTGGCCTTAGTGTAATAGGACTGCTTACAATTGTCTTTTCAACAATATAGAATTCAAACTCAAATTGACTACAGGTATTTGGAAGTTTCAGCAGGGAATCCTGTACTGTGTATATGCTTCAAAACTGCATTAATAAGAGCATCAAATATCTTTTGCATATTACTAACAAATATCTAAATGGAAAATAAAAGGATATATCTGTCATGAATGAGTGATAAGTGACATGAGGATAAAAATTGTGACCTGCTCAATTGCATTTTGGGATGGGCAATTAAATGCTTTTACAACTATGTATAATTTTATGAAATTATAACAGCAGTCCATCAGGAGACTGATTCCAGCCTTTATTATTTTAAACTGAGTGCAGAGAAGGATCTTAAGA